CTTTGTCGTGTAACTTCTTCTTCTTTACGATTTTCTAATTCGGTTATTTGTCGTTCATATTCTTCTTGTGTTTTTTGAGTTTTAGCTTGAAGATCTTGATATTTTTCATATTCAAGCATTAATTTTTGATTATTGGAACCCTCTATAACAAAAAAAAAAGCACGATCATACATTTCAATTGAATACATATACACAAATTAAATGCAAAATTGCAGCTAAAAAGAGATACAAAAAACTTACAAAAATAATTCTTATTTCTTTTCAACTAAATGAAATTTTATTTCAATCATTTTTGTTTTTCTATAATATAAATATATATATATATATATAATTTACCTAAATCTTGTAATTCTTTATTTTGTTTTTCAATAAGATCATGAACTTGTTCAGCATGTTTACTAGCTTCTTTTTCTTTTTCACCTGTAATAACTGTATTTTTTGTTTTTAAATTTTCCATTTCTTGCATAAATTTATCTGTTAAATCACGTATTCTTTCAGCATAATTCATTTCTTTTAATTTAAGTTGATAATCATTTTCTTCACGTAATTCTGCAACACGTTGTTTTAATTCACGTATTGAAGAATTCTAATATATTTAGAAATAATATTTAAACACAAAAAACAAACAAACAAACAAAAATTGATTTACTTTTTCTTCAAGATCACTTTTAGTAATAAGAATTTCTTCAGCATAAGTTGTTTCTTTTTCTTTTTTTGAAACACCAACTTCTTGTAATTTCCATAAGATTACTAAACCATCATCACCTACTGATACAGCATATTCATCTTGAAATGTAACACGTAACTAAATGAAAATATTTAAATTGAAATTTATATCAAATTTTTCTGATTAAAGAAAAGTCTAAAAAAGTTCGTTTCGATAAATATTTAAATTTCGACTTGAAACTTTAAACATATTGAGAACTTTTAGAATATTTCCTTGTCAAGATATTCAAATTTTCAAACAGAATAGTTATTTGCCTTTATGCATGTCACAAAAAAAGAAATTAAATTTACTTAAAATTAAAATATTTTTATTTACTCGATTAATCATTCCAACATGACCAATATATTCTGTATATTCATCTGATTTTGTTAATGGAAATTTGTATGATCGAACAGTTCCTTTAGATGTACCAACTAATAATGATTTACCCGTATGACTAAGTGCAATTGTTGTTGGTTGTACATCATCCGGTATGACCGGAATTTCTCGAAGAATTTGCTAAAAGTATCAATTAATCATCAATATACATGTCAATAGTTGTAAAACTAACTTGAGCATCGACAATTTCTTTTATTTTTCTATCAGTACCAACAGCAAATACTGTTTTTGAATCAGCACTTAATCCAAGACCTGTATAACCACATGCTTTAAGTACAGCTTCATGTAATCGTTTTGATGTTGCAACTTCCCATTCATAAACTGCACCATCCATACCACATGAAAATAATCGTGTATCATCTGGTGACCATATTAATTGACGAACCTAAAAATAAAAAAACAAAAAAAAAATTTTATCAATTATATTATTTCTTTTTTAAATGATTTATAAACAAACTTTTCCATTATGTCCTTTTAAATTAGTTATATTTTCAAAAGTAACTGTTGAATAAATTTGAATAACATTTCCATGTACAGCAGCAAATAAATGTCCACCATTACTAAATAATGCTTCACGACAACCACGTATAGAAAATTCTTTAAATGGACGTAAATCATCAATTAATATTGTAAATAATTTTAATTTATCAGAAAATCCAACAAGTATAAATAGACCCGATGGATGAATTGAAACAGTATATGCTTCTTCTTGAAATTCTTTACATACTTCAAGTGTACTAAATATAAGTCGAAGAAAAAAAAAGTCTTTATTTTATTACTATTGATTGAATCAAAAATGAAATCTTTAATATATTGATAATTAAATTTACCCTGTTTCATAATTCCAAAGACGAACTGATCTATCAACACCACAAGTAGCAATAAGTTGTTTTCGAACACATGTATCAACTCCAGTAACTTGTGCATGATGATAACCTTCTGTTAAATATGAAAAAGTTGCTATATCCTATAAAAGAAAAATTTCATTATAATCGACATGACTTTCTTTTTTTTTTTTTTTTTTTTTTCTTTGCTAAAATAATTATTCTAACTTTTGTTATATCAATTCCTGAAAAAGATAATTGATAAATTTGTTGATGATCTGTTAATGCAACAAGTGTTTCTTCTGATGGACTTAAACACATAGAAACAACACGTTCATTATTTGATTTATCAGTTGAATCAATAGGTAATAAAATTTCTCGATTACGTCGAAAATATTCACGATTATCATCAAGTCGATCATACATATAAACTTTATTATAACCAGCAGCAACAAGAACACCACGTGAAAATGGTATAATACATTTTATTTCGGATTTTCCTAAATGATCACCACTTGTATTTATATCCATACTACTTTCAACTAAACCTAAACGTTCATCTGATGTATGATGACTTGTTACTGATCTAAAATAAAACATAGAATTTGTTTTAAAGTCAAAAAAGAAATAAAAACCTTGGTTCAGATTTTGAATCAATTTTAATTTCATGTAAAATTTCTCCATTTTGTATAACAAATAATTTTCCTTGATCTGTACCAGCTAATAATCGATCATCTGATATCCAACAATGACATGTAAAATTAAAATGTTCTTGTTTAAGATTTTGAGATGGTTTTAATGTTGATTCAGCATAACGAAACATTTTAAATAAACCATGACCAATTGTACATATTTGTGTATTATCTTGTGGATTAAATGATACCTTTGAAAAACGAATAATAAATAATTAAGAAAATAAAAGAACAAATAGAAAATAACCTGATTAACTGTTGCATTTGCTTGTGGACCTGTTGATGGTTTAACATCAATATGTGCCATTACTTTACCTTTTTCCCATGACCAATAAATAAGTGTATAATCAGGTGCACCACCTTGAGTTAATAAATATTTTGAATCCGATGAAAATAATAATGATACAATTTCATTAGATTTAATTAATTCTGATTGTAAAGTTTTTCGTCGTTTACCCGATTGAAGATCATATATTGTTACATGTGGACGATCATTTATACGTTCAGCAATAGCTATTACACGTCGATTAGGACTAACAGTCATTGTTGTTAATGCTTAAAAAAAACACAATAATAAAATTAAACAAAAAAAACTCCTAAATAAATTATTTGAATTTACCTTGAGTATTCATTGAACATGGAATAACTCGTTGAGCTTTTTGATCAATTCCATATAAGACAATATTACCACCAGCAATATAAACAACAGTTTGTTCATCTTGAAATGCTAAACCATTAGTAACAGAACTTCGAACACCAATAACTTGTTTGATAGATAAAAGACCGGCTTGAGACATTGTCTAGAAAAAATTCTTTTTTGAACAGAAGATAGAGTAACTATTGTTTTATTTGTTGACAGGATACTTAACACTCTATTGAAAATCAACAAATGTAAATTCATCCATTCTTTTGTATATGTATATGAATAAGAGAAACCATTTTTGATTATAATATCCATGACAACCATAGTGTACAGAGAAACACTCAAATCAATTAAGAATAATAAATGTGAAAAAGAAATTTCTTTGTTAATTAATAAAGAAAAAGTAAAATATCGAAGGATATGAATAAAATTAATTATATAATAAAGAATAGAAAATAGACTGTAGCGCTTAATAATGAAAGAAGTTTGCATTGGTTGTTTTTCACAATAATATTAAAATAAAAACTTTCATAACACGTAGCAGAAAGCTCGCCTCAAGATTATTCTTTGTATACAAATTTCTCTTAACGATAATGATTATTTTTCATTTTACAATTGTTGTGAGCATGAATCATAGACCTCAAACATGTCTAACTTTCGATGATTTTACTTGGCGATGAAAAATTTAGTTTTTCATTTTTTTTCGAAATCAATTTTTACATAAAAAATGTGTAAAATTGCTCCTATTTCAATACTATAGTAATTCAATCGAGCTGACACCTATTTTACTCATATTAGACACTACTTGGAGTGCCTTCTTTTTTTTTGTTTTGAAAAACATAGCGATGTTGATTTGAGGCAGATTTTACAAAAAAGTTCTTATAAAAAAAGAAACATGTATGTCTGTTAGCGATCGTTACAAGCCAAGCTATGTGGAACTGAAAGAGCTGATTTACAATAGTATTCAATTTGCCTTTCTGAATGATAGTGAGTAGCAGAAGCAGTAGAACAAACTCAAGTTCGCATTACGAACAAATTGTATCAAAGTTGATTTTATTTTACTATTCATTGTGTCTTTCGATCAAGCTTGTTCATGAACAGTCGAAATAAAAACAAGAAGATTTAAGAACTTTTCTGTTAGAGAAACACGGCAAAACGTTGGAAGTTATGAAAAAGCAAGCTTTCTTTCTCGCATTCCAAACTACTTTGCCTGAAATCAAGCCAGTTTTGTTTAACACAAACATCAATGAACCGCTCTTCTCTACGAAAATTACGAGGATTTTTCAATATTTCATACTTGCATATATCTATAAAGACGATTTTTTAATAAAATTCTTGTAGAAACCTTTGTTGATTTTTCGAGACTTCATGTCAATTTTTCAAATTGTTAGCGAGGGTATGGATGTAGGTGGATGTGAATAATGAAGAATTTTCTTCATTCACATACTCACACCCACCCACACCTTTTTTCCAAGAACTTAAATCAAAAGTCTGATCAGATTCCTCAAGAAAGCAAGAATCGTTGTGATAACTATGACCTTTGCACCATCATCAACCAATCTTGAGTGCATGCTAACCAAAATACTTTGCTATTAAAAAGTAAATTCTTCTCAGAGATGACACTTTAACAGAAACTTCGAAAGACAGTTTATCGCTATTACAATAAAAAGATCAGTTATGAAAACACTCTTTGAAGAATATATACAATATATCAAGAAGAAACAAAATGTTTATCATTACTCTGTTGATAATGTATTATACAATTCAGTACTATTCAGAACATCGGTATCACTATATCCACCAGTAACTAAGATTTTCCCATTTACTAATATGGATGCGGTGTGCGCTAATCGTGCATAATTCATGCTACTAATAGTTTCCCAAGTTTCTGTTGATGGATCGTACAATTCAGCACTATTCAGATAACCATTACCACCATCTCCACCAGTAACTAATACTTTCCCATTTGTTAATATAGATGCTGTATGCTCTTTCCGTGAATTATTCATACTACCAGTAATTGACCAAGTTTCTGTTAATGGATCGTACAATTCAGTAGTATTCAAATAATTATTCATATCATTAGATCCACCAGTAACTAATATTTTCCCATCTGTTAATATGGATGCGGTGTGCAGAAATCGTACATCATTCATGCTACTAGTAGTTGTCCAAATTCCTGTTGATGGGTCATATAACTCATCACTATTCACAAAATCACCACCAGTATATCCACCGGTAACTAATACTTTCCCATTTGTTAATATCGATGCAGTATGTCCATTTCTTACAAAATTCATGCTACCGGTAGTTGTCCAAGTTTCTGTGGATGGATCATACAGCTCAGCACTACTATAATAACCAGCAATACCACCAAATCCCCCTGTTACTAAAACTTTTCCATTTGTTAAAATGGTTGCTGTGTGTTCACTTCGACCATCACTCATGCTACCAGTAATTGACCAAGTTTCTGTTGACGGATCATACAACTCCGCACCGTTCAAATAATCACTACTACCACTAGATCCACCATCAACTAAGACTTTCCCATTTGTTAATACTGATGCCGTGTGCCACTCTCGTACATGATTCATGCTACCAGTAGATGTCCAAGTTCCTGTTGATGGATCATACAACTCCGCACTTTTCAAATAAGCACTACTAGCATCATATCCACCTGTAACTAATACTTTTCCACTTGCTAACACTGATGCGGTATGTGTAGTTCGTTCATTATTCATGCTACCAGTAATAGACCATTCTAGAAAAAGCTTTTGAAAATATAAAATCTAGACATAGCGTATCACTGAGTCATTAAGGAGAGTATGCCATAAATATATTAATTTTTTTACTTAGATGCTCTCGCTCCCCACAGAATAGAAGTCTCGTGGCCTTCTGATTTGTTTTAAAAATCAAAAGTTTGGATATGCACTTATATCACGATCAACTCTTTTGTGTTGTAACTAGAATTTCATCAATTTAGAAGCACAGAAGTGTTCAAGAATTGATGGACTTGATTTTCAAATCGTGTAACATGTTTCAGAATAGAATATAATAGCTATAATAGTTCTCGAAGAATCAAAGATTGACTGCCAGTTCTTTTCCAAGTCCAGACCGTCAAACCGACACAGTAATGAGTGTGTTTACAATACTTTCACATCTACACGTTCATCCGTCCGCAATACTTTGCGGATCTTGATTTGAATACAAAGTACTCCAGATATACAAGATTTCATTTAGGAAATTGTTGAGTTCTGGAGAAACTAAGAAGGAACTTCTATTAGACATGTACTAACATGATTCTGCGGAATGATTTCATCATAAAAGCTTCTACAGTTCAGAAACGAAATGAGATATATTTTAATTATTTTGATAAAAATATAAAGTAAATTTCTGATTCAAAAATAAGAATCTCCTATCTCTATGAAATGAATAGTTCAAACTTTATGAATGTTATAATGATCGATATTGTCCTATCTCACATCAATTTTAGTTTTAAATCGGAAAAACGCACACACGTAGTTTGAATCAGCCATCTTTCACCTTTGTGAGATGTCAGGGTTTTCAGCCAAGGACCTGCTCATATTTCTATTAAATTAATAAAATTAACGTCGTTCCTTTTCTGAACTGCGTATTATCTCATGATACGAAGAAATCCAATAGAATAATATTACTGGATGTGTGTTTTCAATTTCGCAGTTCTTGGGCAGCTATCTTTAGGTAGTATCTCTGTATAGGTATTTTTCAGCTCACGAAAGAAATTCAGTTGCTCGCTAATAGAAAGAAAACATATATAGCACAAACGAAATTAAACAAATAAACCAACCTATAATTCAACAGAGAGAATCAATGAAATAATCTATCGAATTTGTTATGTTATTTCTGTTTTGCTCAGGTTGAATATAGTGGGCTTCTATTGCGTCGAAAAATTACAACCCTGGGACTGGACTTTCTATTTGGTGCAGAAAAAGGGTTGGTTATCTCAAAATAAAGGTCTAGTCCAACTATAGTCAAATACAGAATAATGGATCATTCGGTTTTACCTACAGAAAATTTAGGGTAAAGCAAGGTATGAGTATTAATTTGAACTTATAAAAGCAGGTGACAACGGGTTTGTTTAGGATTTTTTATCTTCTTTTATAAATAACTACAGGGTTTGTGCGCGAAGACGCTTCATCAGATGGAAAACCGCATGAGGCAACAGTAAACATCTGAAAGAATCTCTTCACACACACAAGTCGACGAATTAGCCGATATTTGCTATTCGTAGGACCAACAACGCTAATTTTGAATCCATCAGAGTTTTTGCAGGTTTTGTGAAAAACCATTTATTCGACAGAAAACAAGCGCATAATATGCTGCCACTTCAATATCACCTAGTGCTAAATAAAGCTGATCAATGGAAGAGCGTTAATAAAGTATTTTGTAGTTTAACAGATTAGATTTTTTAATTTTTGGATAGAGAACGATATGATTCATGGACAAACGATCAGTCGAAGATATTTATTCAAAACTATCACAAAAATGATGAGCGCGATTATTTAGTATCATTCCTAAGCTTTGTAAATTTCATTATTTCAAACGAGTTCGAAAAAGAAAAATGAAACATTATGATCGTTTCAAATTCGTCAAGATCATGATTAACTTTTACGTCGCCTACAACTTCAGAAACAGTTTCGAAAACCGATAGATTTTCTCGATTCAATATTTATCAATAAATAGACCTGTTTTCTTTGCAGTCTAAGTTTAGATATGACTTAACAGTGTACTTGATATCTGTCTCACGATTCCTCTGTGGCTTTTTTGTTCTGCACATCTTATGATGATGATTATGGCTATACGTATTTTTCGCCTTTATTCAGGCATATCATAAAAAATCGAATGTTGCCATTTTGATCTGTAATTTAATCATGAAAAGGTTTCAATATTACTAAAAAGTGCGGAAAGTCTCAGTCAAAATGGATCTTTCCATATCGCCATACAAGATTTTCCAAACAGCAAGAGTTTCTGAGCTCTTTGCGAAGAACTGTGATTTGTTCAAGATATTGTATTGCGAAATGGTAACAGCGGTATTGGGTAAGACTTCAGCACATCATAGTAATACTGACACTTCTTTGTTGGCAAGATTTTCGATCGAAACTCCGACATTCGATTGTTTTTGAAACATCCTGATACAGACGAAAAGTTTAGGAAATTGGATATAATTCTAGAGAGAAGGCTACATGAAACGGTTCATTCTAGACTGTGTCTAGTTTCGAGGAGTCTTGCCAAATTTAGTAAGTCTCACTTCAAACGCTATTTATTACTTTTAACGACTTTCTTATCAGATCATCATTGATTCTACGGCATCAATTACAAGTACGTACTTTAAAAGTAGTATTTAGTCCGATGAAGAAAGTTTACTGTAAAGCTTACGTGACTGCTGACTAGTGGTCGTTATTTTGATTGACGATGTTGTTGTTGCTGTTGTGGTCGATAATGTTATTGGTGCTATTGTTGTAATGACAATGGTTTCTGACTTTTGTGGGGCAAGAATGACGAATTTTAACAGCAGTGAAAGAGTAACTACAAAAATTGTGAAAACGATAAATGAAGTACCAATAATTTTAGTTCGCCGACGGTTCAGACATTTATATCGCTCATTATTTCCAGTATCATTTTCGTTGTATATTGGGTTGTTATGCATATGATGTACCTCAAGAAGTCTTAGCTGAAAAGAAGAAAACAAATGATCGCTTGAAACCACTTTATATTTGTTTTGTACTATCGGAAAAAATAAAAAAATGCAGGTAACTGTGGCTATAGGCACATCACTCGTACACGATATCTCTTCTTTCATTGTGGCTTGTGATACACTCGTTCTTAACTTGTATAACCGGCTCATTCGTTACTCTTTATGCATGATTGCGCCTCTTTCTATTTTAATTTTCCTGCCGTAATTTATCTCTTCGTATTCATCTCTCTCGTAGATAGACTCGTGTTGTATGCCAGATAGACGCATTTGGAGAGATATACACTTGGAAAGAGATAAAAGTCGAATAAACATCGTGTCATACGGCCCAAACTCGTATGTCTTTCCATTTGTCATAGTGATTGATGTGAAGTAGCTCAAGAAACATCAATACTGAGGCTGGTCATAGAGCTACACTCCTTCTTTTTCATTGCCATAATTTTGCCTCGAACGCAAAAAAGCATTCTTATGCTCTTATCTTTGGGTGATATATTGCCTATATGACCAAGATAACGCACCTTTAAGTTTCATTTCTAAAGTTTCTCACGTTAAATGTTTCTATCTGAATATTATTTTATTAAGTGCACATTACGACACATGGTAAAGCCATCTATACATTAGAAAATGTCTTTCAATGAAGGAAGCGAAAGAAAGAATAGAAGATCATTATGATGGTTGATCTTTTTCAGATCTATGTTGTTTATTGAGAGTGTGGATAGGAGAAGATGAAAACCTACACTCACACGCACAATCACTCATACTCTCTTTGATCAATTTGAAGGAGTGATTGAAGACAAGTTTGGCCAGATAAGAATCAGGATAGGGCTCCAGCATAAGACCAAGAATCGTTTGCACTGACCAATCAGATAATTTGAAGTGAACATTGTAACGAGAAATATGCAGAGTGGCTTCATTCTTTTTATTATGGCTGCATCTATTTTATTCATTATTAGATGAGAAACTAGAGAAGTAGCGTTACCACCAGTCACGGTATAAATGTTCACTATACGCTATCACATCACTCCAGTTCTGTGCATATCACGTAGAACACAGCCTTGTATAGAAGAATAAGAATATCGGTTACAAAAAAAAGAATGAAAAGATAAGATGATGAGAGAAAGAATAAGAACCATTGAAAAAAGATTACACAGATCATGAACAAAAGGAATATGACTATTATATCATTAACAAGATACAAGCTAACAACGATAACACGATGACACCTGAAAGTGTACCTTATTCATCGGCACAAACATAAAGCTCGTCTACCATAGCTCGAATTGATCATAGACGTGCACAATGTAACGCACCGTTTAAATATGAGCCTTGCTATCCTTCTTCTTCTTCGGCATCCGCAGTGTAGTGCACAAAAGATAAAAACGGATAAGATACGTCCAGTGATGAGAAAATAAAGTCCCATTGTAAAAAAAATAGCCAAGCATTAAAATATGAGGGTGTGGGTGTGGGTGTGAATGTGGGTGTAGGCTAAAAGAAGGTTCATAATAGTTGGATTGGAATATGGAAAATAAAGACGAAATCGAAGTGAAGATTTGAGAAATATACATGACGACTGGAGTGGCACATATGCAAAATTGTCCATCTTTATCTCTCTATGGCTATTCTGTGTAAGACTCAAACAGGATTTATAATTACATGTACTTTTCTTGCTAAAATAACTTTCTTTCATGAGTTCTGGAGGAACGATTGGATTAGGTTGAAGGTAAACTTCAGTGTACATCAAAGTCTTTTTTAAGATCAAAAGAATTAAAAACTACCTCAAGCTCTTTTAGAATATCAAATATTCGTTGAGCATAAAGATTCATTTGATATGCTAATTATAATGTTAATAAAATAGAACAATAGTTGTTTTATTGCTTTAGTAAGGAAATGAAGGTATGTATTCTAAAGGAAAAAATGATACTATTTTGAATAGTATATACTTAGCTGATGAATATTTTTATAAAACAGCAAATATTTCAGTCACTCAAATATAATTTATTCAAGAAAAAGATGAAAACTCCATGTCAACTTTGCTTTTCTGTCCTATACTTTGATTGTTATAAAGATGATATGAGCATCCCAAAAAAAGTACTTTTCTTCGATTCATCTCCTCAACATAAGTTGATTGTAAAGAATTAAAAAACATATTTTTGAGTGAGAAAGTTAAAACACAAGCATATTATACATTCATTTTTATAGTTTCTTTCGATAGACAATACATAAATGTCATTATATTAATTGGTAATTTAAACTAAAAGCATTTTATCAAACTATGAAAACTTTCAAATAAATTATTTTCTGAAATAAATAGAAGACTTTCTTAGAGGAATGATGCACCGAATATAATAAACCACTTCCTTTAATTGATTTCTCATAAAATTGGAACTTTATTTAGTTTATTTTGCATCAGGATATGCCTAGTTTTCTGATTTTTGCGTTGAGAAACCTTACAAGATTGAGGTCGACACCAATCCTAGGTTTTTTTTAAACTCTTAAAAATCTCTTATGCTTTTGTGAAAATCTTTGAATCAAAAGTTTTGAAAATATATGAGATAGAATAGAAGACTTCCCTGAAACAATCTTTATCCTTGCTTATAACACTAAACATGGAATCTTTTGTTACAGAGAGATAGAGGTTCACTATTTATAATCAGTATTAGAAGATGAAGTATTTAATCAAGTTAACAAATTTTTACATTAATCAAACAATATTTATTACACAAGTTATCATTTATACTATTAGGATGAACGTTTTAACAAAAATTCTATTCATGTGTATTAAAATAAACATAAAGAAATGACAGTTCATCCGGTGAATCTATCTGACGTAGTAGAATATTAATTTGACAGTGAAAACACATTTTACTATTTGCCTGAATAAACCTGACTTTCCTTAGAGCTGTAAAGGATAGTAAGTAAAATATTTATTTTTTCCAGAAGAAAGCAAAAATGAATCCATGTGAAAAATAATCTTCAGTAAGAAAGAAGATCTTAATAGAATCATTATGGCTTCTTCAATGGCTCTATATATTCTTCATATTAGTCAAAAATATACGCTCTATGCTAGTTACATTATACTTATTGCGGGAATAATTGGAAATGTTCTTAATATTTTTATTTTTATCAGTTTCAAAGCCTTTCGAAATAATCAATGTGTTTTATATTTTGTAACCGAATCAATTTCCAATATATTTCAAATAATAATATTTTTTCTTATACGTTTATTAATCGTATTAAATGATAGTGATCCAGCAAATTCAATAATTTTTTGGTGTAAATTTCGTGCTATGATGATTACATTATGTACATTAATTTCGTTTTCTGCAATATGTTTTTCTGCTTGTGATCAATATCTTTCAACAAGTCTTCAAGCCAGTTTAAGAAAATTGAGTACAATTAAATTAGCTAAAATTCTAATATTTACAGCAATTATTATTTCAATATTACATACCATTCCATTTTGTATATTTATTGAAATACGAGCTTCTTTCTGTAGTGTTTTCAATTCAATGATGTCTAATTATCTAACACATTTCTATTATCCAATTTTATCTGGTCTTCTACCTATTTTCATAGCATCATTATTTAGTATTTTAGCATATCGAAATGTTCGACGAATTGTTCGACGACAAATACCAATAGTTCGTCGACGACTTGATCGTCAATTGACAGCAATGGTACTTGTTCGTATTATTGCATTTGTTATATTAACATTACCTTATGCTATTCAAAGAATGTATACATATCTTGCAAAAATTGATCAATCAAATCTTTATCTATTTGCAATTAGTAGTCTAGTAGGAGGAGTTATAAGTTCGCTATTTAATCTAAATTATGCGGTAACAATTTTCTAACTGATACATTTTTTTTTGTGGTATTTATATTATCTATTTTTATTTAGATATCTTTCTATATATTTATGGCATCTTCAGTACGATTTCGTCGTCAAGTGAAATATATTTTGGTAAAGAAATCTTGGCAACGATTGAAACAATGGTTTTCTTACAATGAAAATCAAGTTCATCCAAGCATGCACATGCAATCAGTTGGTTCTAGCATTGAACTACAATGAAAAGATCTTGACACTAAATTTTATTTCAAACTTTTACAAAATTTGTTTTATTATTTCCTATAAACAATTTATTTGTAATATGTATTAAAGAGTTTTCGTATCCAAAAAGTTGTTTGATTTTCATCGATGAAATATGAGGCGTTTGATCTTTTTTTCTGTTAATACATAATTCCACGATGCATCTGGTAGAGACATTTGCTCTCCCACCCCATGTAATTAGAAACGCACTAATTACAATCTTTTATATAAAATTTTTTAATAGAAAATGTCTGAATCAAGCCTTGAACCTAAATATTTTCTATTAAAAAATGTTGATCATAAAGATTTATACTTTGTTTATAAGTACAGAGGAATTTCCTTGATTGACTTCAGAAAATTTTGTTAGATCTGGTAAAGAGCTTTAATTTCGAATTTTTAAGAGTAACCTTCTAAAAAAAAACTACTTTCGGAAGATCTCAAAGCTTAGATTTCATTACAAAAAATTATCAATCTTTCATGCAACTATGAATAAAAGATTCTTTTCGTTCAATGGAACTAAAGAAATAATTTTTGCTTTCATGTCGAAATACAAAATTGACTAAGAAAAACTAATCTTTATGATTATTTCGATATGATGTAATGATCAACTATTTTGAATCTTGGCTACGTTCGAGAAATAATATCACCAGGGTTCCAAAAGGAAGTGACATTTTTAGATTAAAAATATGTCCTTGCTTTTTATTGCGCTTTGATTTCCTACTGAGAAAAACATTCTTGTTTTGATAACAACGCCAAAAGAAAAATTAATTCTTTCATGTTTAAGAATTTTGATCATCAAAAGTTTAAAATTAAGGAAAGCAAATCTAGTGTTTAGATTCAGCATAAGAAATTAACTGAAAAACCATAGACTTTATTACAAAAATATTTTTCGTCCAAACTAGATTGCTATTCTAACTTTGATTCTTTTTAATTTTATCATTACATCCTATTAAAGCAGTCATAGAAATTTTTCGTAATGAAAGTGTGGTTGTGATTCTTATCTACATCAAGAAACACACTCATATCCATACCCCATATTTACATGGGTTGAGTGATGAATAACAGACTGTTTTATTTTTTTATATTATCCTTTCATTTTTTAAAGAGAAGACGTGACTTAAATGATGATTTTCTTCCGCAAA